ACACACACACACACACACACACACACACACACACACACACACACACACACACACACACACACAAAAGAAAATAAGAATAAGGATCACAGTGGGAACTTGTTGTGTCGTATTTGATACCCAGTGGCCCTGCAGGGAGTGAGGACAGCGAGTTCAGTCCAGCAGGGAGCAACTTCTGCTAGAAAACACAACCCACACACACACAAACACGCACACACTCATACGTTCACACAGACAGCAGGTGGAGACTTGACCTCTTCTTTTTAAATGCTCAAAACTTGTGTAATGACTAATTGGCTGTTATTTAATACAATGACATTCTCTGTTGGTGTCCACTCCACTCATCAGTTCATTTTCAGGTTTGAAGGTTCAGGTACGGCCACCCGTTATTTTATTTTATTGACTCCTCTGAATTAAATGGTGATCATAATTTCTTAATGAATCCAAATGGAGGCTTTGCATGGGTTCGTCTAACCATGAGAATATTTCCCTAGCATTAGCCTCTTCTAATAATCCTACAGAAACACCTTCGACACTAGCCATACGCTTGCTACTGTAAATAAGAGAAACTAACCCTACGCATTAATCTGAGTTTATGTTTGCGCTATCATGTCACTGTCACTTCCAGTTCCTCTATTACACATGGAGGTAAATGTCTAAAGAAATCAGGAATTTCAGATTTTATATTCAGATCTGATATATAGGAAGGCATTTAGTACAGTTTTTCCTTTCAAATGATCTATTTCCCTTGTCATAATGTAAGCCATTGAAAGGGCCCTGTGGTGTAAGCTTGGCCAATCTGGAACTTCAGCCAAGCATGAAATGGAAATTCCTGTTCTGCCTCCTGAGGCTGTAAGCATTTCACTCAGACAAATGGGACTTGCGGGGGGCATCGAGGCTCCCAATCCAACCTAAAACACAACACTTGTTATTCATTTAACCTCAGATCAGCTGTAATTTGTATCTCCGAGTCAAGCAAGAGCAAAGAGATGTTTTCACTTTAGCTCTTTTCTCCTCAGCAGGTACAACAAAAAACACAGATGCTTTCTTATCTATGTGCAGTCATGACCAGGTTTCTGAAAGGCTGCTATAGTGAGCACACGTGCCTAATTGACTTGCACTCAATCACAGAGAACAGAGATGCATGAAATAAAAAGTATAGGTGCTATTTGCAGAGGAAGTTCACATGCTGTTTTAAAAAAAAGGTGAAAAAAGCTTACTATGTGCTGTGGTTGTTAGTGCTGCCATGTGATTCTGTAACCTCCATAAAGGAAAAAAAGCATGACATTTTTTAACTTCTAGCTTCACTTAGATTTAATATGAATTCTGCAGACGCTGTATGCCCAAGCAGCTTCGAGAAGCAGGTTTACTGAGTCGTCTGGATAAATTTGTTGAGTACACCATGCATTGCTGTGCAAGTTTTGTCCATCTGCCTAACACAGAGGCACACGTTATCATCTATCAACAGCAAACAGAAAAGCCTCCATGCCATATGCTTAGAAATGATTAAAATAAAACATACCCCTCCATATGGACACAAAAGATCACAAAGATATTATGATCATATTGTCAGTGTTAGGCGTAGTGCTGTGAAAACACAGAACACACACTCTACTTAGCATGAGACTGACCTTTACATTCATCTTCATAGCCACAGTGTATTT